AATGTGATTAATTCAAATAATTCAGTTTCACTTTCTGTTGACCACAACTACAGCTGGAACAACTATCCACAAGTCAAAAATAGAAACCTTAGATACATAGAAATACTTCTTATTTACATGCAGTGTTTTCTTATCTCATTCAGAGCAAGAAGTCTTTTGAAGGAACATCATGAGCAGATTTATATTCAACAATGAAGTTTTATTGAAGTGGTCAGTGGTGAAAGTCTTGATTTTTTTTAATTTGGCAGAATTCAGTTTTTCCACAAAAACAACTAGCATAGTAATGCAGAAAAACCAAAGTCAAAAGATCTGGTTTTACTAACTAAGATGAACAAAGATACCTGAAATTAATTTTTTTTTTTCAGTAGTTCCACAGCAAAAAACAATTATTAAACATTTTTCTGGTTGGTTTCTTTTTAAATAATCTTTAATAAACTGCAGGTCTATGTAACAGGACTACAGTGCCTGCCTGTCACTTCCAAGACTTGGCGGCAATTCCACCTTGATACAGAAGCATGACACGCAGTGGTGATCACACAGTATCCCCTCATGAATGGGCTTCCATATCTCATATCCCAGAAAAGGCACCTAAAAAAATCATGTCTTCATACCTACGAGAAAAACTGCACTCTGTTACTGTGCTGTGTTGGGTTTGGGGTTTTTTTTGTTTGTTTGGGTTTGGCTTTTTTTGGGGGCGGGGGTTATGTGGTTTTTTTGTTTGGTTTTTTGTTTGTTTTTTTAATGAGAAAGTTCCACCTTACTTTCTTTAATGCTGCATTTAAATTTCACAGGATGCTGGCACTATGACCATTCACTTTGGTTTATGCTTCCTAATGACCAGTTTCACAATAGCTAGCTAAGAGTAATGCCACCAACTCCCTACACTGACAATCTAATTATACTGAATTGTGCTTTCTATGCCATACTGCTGGGCATAAATAATTATTCCTCCAGAAAACTAAGCACTTAATCCTTCTTAAGAAGCAGAAGCATTATTGAATATTCTTCTGAATCCACCGATACCTCCTAAGACACAGTGTAGTTCCCTGAAATTACATTAAAATTATTTAAAAATCCCCTTCAACTTTGAGGAAATCACAGAATCACAGAATGGTGAGGGTTGGAAAGGACCTCTGTGGGTCATCTAGTCCAACCCCCCTGCCGAAGCAGGGTCACCTACAG